CAGCGCCGGATGGATTATTCATGTTGTTGCTGATGTACCTCAGGGTGATGGCAGAGAATGGGACGAGGAGAAAAACTGAGCCAAGTGGTAAAACGACTGAGGAATATGGACATTAGTAAATGACCACGTGCACCTGCCCTTCACTTCGAAGGAGAGCCCAGGAATTGGGGTTTTAGACAACAGTCTAGATGTGACAGTGGGGAGCGATGAGAATGCTGCCTCTGTGCGTCCCCCGATGTCTGCTGACCCAGGAGAAGAGGTAACCAGTTCATTTAAACCAATAAGTGAAAGTATGTGGTTTTTGTTGTCGTTTGATTGTTTGTTGGTACTGAGGGTTGAAATCAGGAGTGCTTTACCACTGAGCTACAACCTTTTTATTTTTTATTTTGAGACGGGGGCTGGCTAAATTACAGAGGCTAGCCTCCTATTTGCCAGCCTCCTGCCTCAGCTGGAGCTATAGGTAGGTGCCAGCATCCAGAAGCATATGGTTTTGTGAAGAGATCACCAAGGTGATTCAGAAGGAGCCTGAGAAGTGATACAATATGTTACATTAGGGTGGAAACAGATTTGGAGGGGCAGAATAATTTGCTGAAGGAATGGTAAACTCCTGGCAGTAGAGAGTGTGGGTAGGGAAGAACAGGCTACTGGCTAGGAAATGGGTCTTTGAATTAGATGGACCTGGTTTGGAGGTCAGCTTCATTGTTTACTGGTGTGAGATGTGGGGTGCTACTTAACATTTCAGCTTTCTTATCTGCAAGGAAGGACACGCAGTATCTATTACAAAGGAGTATTGTAAGGATTTAATATGGTTGGTCTGTGTGAAGTGCTTCCTTTATATGTTTTGCTTGGAAAGGTACGTTGGAGAGAAATTGTGAACAGCCTTAAATACTGGGCAGAGAAATTCATACTTTATTCTAACAGTCCCTCTGCTCTGATTCAACAACCCATTGCATCAGAAGCTTTCTTTCTTTCATTTTTTTTTTTTAAATTGGTGTTTGAACCCAGGGGCACTTTACCTCTGAACTACATCCTTAGCCCTTTTTATTCTTAATTTAGAGGCAGGTTCTCACAAGTCTAAGTTGCTTAGGGCCTCACTAAATTGCTGAGGCTGGCCCTGAACTTGTGATCCTCCTGCCTCAGCCTCCTGAGCCGCTGGGATTATAGGCCTGCACCACTGTGGTTGCTCACCGTGCCCTGTTTTCCTGTGCCCAGCTCCTTTTTGTTTATTGAGACAGGGTCTTGCTAAGTTGCTGAGGCTGAGCTCAAACTTGTGATTGATTCTCCTGCCTCAATCACCCAGCTCGCTGGAATTACAGGTGTGGTCCACAGCTCACTGCTTTTTTATATTTCCGAATGCAGAGAAAATTTCCTACCTCTGGAGATTCTGATACAGGCAGCTGCTAACTACTAATGCTGGAACTGAATTAAAGGGATTCTGACTAGTGTTTTTCTGATCATTCTGTACTTCCCCTACATTCTCTCTATTTGGAGGGCATTAACATTAGGCAGTCCATCTTTACTGACTGGATCTTTCCTATACCAATTCCTCTGGACCCATCTACCTTTGTTGGTGAGATGTTGGGCCTCTGGCTTCTGTGGCAGCTCTAAAACAACCAACCAAACAGAACTGCTGACAGTAGCTGAAGTGAGTTAAACCACTACCATACACATCTGGTCTATACACCAGCTGGCTTTCTGTGACAGATGAAAAACTTTTTGTTCAATGAAATGATTTTAAGATGAGGCCCTAAAGGAGCCCTCTGTCTTATATTTAAAGAGATATTTAGAAATATGAAAGGCTTCATATTATTCCTACCCCTCCTACATCTGTGTGAAATTGTTTAAGCATGAGTAATGAACTAAAATGAGGACAGCCAGGGATTACCTAGAAACAGACAGGTTTAGCAACTTGCTCTGTTTCTACAAACCAGGACTTGTAACCCATTCTCCTCACTACTGGTTTATTTATTTTTATTTTTTATTTTTGTGGTGCTGGGGATTGAACCCAGGGTCTTGTGCATGTGAGGCAAGCACTCTACCAACTGAGCTATATCCCCAGCCCAACTATTGGTTTGTTTTTAAAATGTATTTTTAGTTAATAGCTACCATTTTAATAAAAAAATACATGTGCAAGGAAATCATTCCAAAAGTGCAAGTGATACATAATTAAGAATTATCTTCCTCCTATTCCAGGCCCTTTCCTTCCAATTCTTCTCCTGGCTGCAGACCACTGTCAACAGGTTTTTGGGTATCCTCTCAGAAATATTCTATCCATGTAATATCTTACATATATGTAAGCATATGTGTGAATATTAATTAAAAAACAAATGGAAATTTAGTTTGTATATTATTTGATGCTTTGCTTTTTTTCACTCAACATTATAACATGGGAGCAATTTTATATTTGAATATAGAGCTTTGTCTTTCTTTTTAATGATTGTATAATAATCCATGCTATGGTTGTAGCACAAATTATTTAGTCTTAACTTCCAGTTTATTTTCCTGACATGCCTTTTTTATTGTTGTCGAAGGCAGTACTATTCTCCCAGTCATTCTGGCTCTAAACCTTGAAGTAATACCCAACTTCCTCTTTCCTGGTATCCAGTAAATCCTGCCAATTCCTTCTTTACAATGTTTTCTCTAGCCGGGTGTGGTGGCACACCCCGTAATCCAGGCAACTTGGGAAGCTGAGGCTGGAGGACTGCAAGTTTGAGGCCAAACTGGGCAATTTTTGAGACATTGTCTGAAAAATAAAATAAAAAGGGCTTGGATGTAGCTCAGTGGTAGTGCTCCTGGGTTTGATACCCAGTACCAGAAACAACAACAACAACAACAAAACAACAAAAACAAAACACCCAAACAAACCCCTAAACAACAACAAAAACTCAAAAAACAATGTTTTCTCTATTTGTCCATTCTTTATTCTCATTGCTAATTCTCTGGTTTAGGCTTTAACATTTCTTACAGTGTCTATCTTCAAATTCTCCAGGAGTTTCTGATGCAATTGTTGTGGATCAATGGAACCATTAAAATAAAGTAAAAATCTCTCTATTCAGTAGTTAAGGCTCTTTACAATTTCAACCTTTCCCGCCTCATTTCTTTTTTTCTTTTGCAGTACCTGGTATTGAATTCAGGACCTCGAACATGCTACGCAAGTGCTCTATCATTAAGCTACATCTCTAGCCCTATTTTGAGACAGGGTCTCTCTAAGTTGTATAGGCTGGCCTTGAACTTGCAGTCCTCCTGTCTCAGCTTCCCAAATTGCTGAGATTACAACCAGTCACTGTACCTGGGCAACTAATACTTTCTTTTTTAAAAAAAAATATTTATTTTTTAGTTGTAGTTGGACACAATACCTTTATTTATTTATTTATTTATATGTCGTGCTGAGGATCTAACCCAGGGCCTCGCATGTGGTAGGCAAACACTCTGTCGCTGAGCCCCAGCCCCAGCCCAGCAACTAATACTTTCTTTTAAAATTCTTTTTAGTTATATATAACATTAGGGTACATTTTGACAAAACCACAAAAGCATGAAATATAATTTTCTCTAATTCAGTCCCTAGCATTTCCCCCTTCCCCTTCCTCCCTCTACTCTACTGATCTTATTTATAGTTTTTTTTCTATAACCTGATGTTGAGATTCATGGTGGTCTCTTCATGCATGTACATTTGGAAGTTCAATCAGATTCATTCCACTGTTCTTCCCTTATCAGGTCCTTCCTTTCTCCCCTTCACACTCTTGGTCTATTCTATTGAACTTTCCTCTATTTTGACGGAGTTTCCTCTCCCTCTTTCCCCCCCCCCCCCCTTTCTCTCTCTTTTCCTTTCTTCCCTTTTATTTTGGATTAGCTTTCACATATCAGAGAAAACATTTGTCCTTTGACTTTTGGGTACGGCTTATTTCACTTAGCATGATTGTCTCCAGTTCCATCCATTTACTGGCAAAAGCCATAATTTTATTCTTCTTTATGGCTGAGTAATATTCTAATGTGTACATATACCACATTTTCTTTATCCATCTGTTGAAGGACATTTAGGTTGGCTCCATAGCTTGGCTATTGTAAAATTGATGTGGCTGCATTCCTGTAGTATGCTGATTTTAAGTCTTGGATATATAACAAGGAGTGAAATAGCTGGGTCATATGGTAGGTGTTTTTTTTTTTTTTTTTTTTAGGAATCTATTACTGCTTTCCAGAATGATTGCACTAATTTGCAGTCCTGCCAACGATATGAGTGTACCTTTTCCCCCCACATCTTCACCAACATTTATTATTACTTGTATTGATAATTACCATTCTGACTAGAACAAAATGAAATCTCAATGTAGTTTTGATTTTCATTTCCCTAATTGCTTGAGAGATTGAACGTTTTTTCACATACTCGTTAGCCATTCATCTTACTTCTTTTGAGAAGTGTCTGTTTAATTCTTTTTTACTTTTTTTTTTTTTAATAGTTCCGGGCAACTACTACTTCTTTACACCTTACTCCGAATTAAATTCCACCTGGTTGGCTGGGTGCTCCTCACACCTTCCAGTCACACCTTTTTAGCCACATAAATCCTGTCTCTATGAAGCCTTCAGGTCAGAAGTGATTGCTGAACTCGATTCTCTGAACAGGCTTTCAGTCACATTATGCCCAGGATCAAAGTTTTGGATTCTCCAGCTAGCCCCACTTCCCGCTCCCCTCTAAGATCGCTGTCAGCAGACAACTAGTTAGATCTTTCTTCCTACGCATGCTATCGGACCTTTTGCACTTCGTGGCAAAAGTGTTAAGATTTCTAGGGTAAAGCCATTGCCTGACTTGGTCATCACTGTATACACAGTGTGGCTAATTTTTCCTGGCTTACAGTGGGCTTTCAACACGTATTTGTGGATTCAATGAATAAGTGAACAGAACCCCCCAGCATTGCCCAGAAAACTACAAATCCCGGCGGACACTGCGCGGACGCCGGCGGACGTAATGACGCAAGGGGGCGTGCCGAGCCCGAGGGAGGGGTCGTTCTGTGGGTTGCCGGAGGCTGGGGCAGCTGTGGAGACTGGGGTGTGAGAGCTAGTGCGAGGGAGCGAAAGGTGACCCGGGCTAAAGGAGGGGACGCACTACCGGGCGCCCCCAGTCTATGGAGCGGAGTAAGATGGCGGAGGCGGAGAGCCTGGAGACCGCGGCAGAACACGAGCGGATCTTGCGAGAGATCGAGAGCACCGACACGGCCTGCATCGGGCCCACGCTCAGGTACCCCGGGTACCGGGACCGTCGACGGGCGGGCACGGGAAGGACAGGATCAGGGTCCATTGGATTTGTGTGTGGTTCGGCTGCCGGTAGGGCCGGTGCCAGCCCCTCCCTTTGGAGAGACCCGCTAGCGACCTGCATCCTGCGCGAGGCGGGTCTCCCTGCGCAGCCCCGACGTGGGGTCCCTTCCCGGTCGCCAGCGCCTCTCGACCAGTTACTCAGTAGGCTCTGTGTGCCTCCTTCGGGCGGGGACAGCCTTCGTACTCACTCAGAGGCTAAGCCCAGCGCCGGGGAACAAGAGATCTCCCGACAGATGGTGGCAGGTCTTCTCCCTGGGGACATCATCCTTCTCCCTCAGACTCAAACCCTGTCCAGCCCTAGCCCTAAGTCCTGCTGTTCAGACAAAACAAAATTTCACTCCACTCTCTCTTGCTTGAAATTAAACTCTTGCCTCAAAATCACAACTACTTCTCCAAAAATGAGTCACTGAAATTCCTAGGCCCTGGAAGGAAGGAAGTTTCTTTCCACCCGTGCTCCTCTCCTGAGAGCCAGTGCTCCTTGAACCCTTGTTAGGAGGTTGAGATCTTACCAAGGTGCAGCCTCATGGTATTTTTATCGATGAGGAAAATTTATCTGGCTCCCGCACCCAGATACCATTACTTTGCACGTACACCCCCGTTTTTATTTTTATTTTTTGGAGATGTCAAAGCAAACTCAGACCTTCCTCAACTTATTTAAATACACACACACACACACACACGCCCGCACACACACGATTTATTTAAACCACAAAAACAATCCTAGTAGGTAGGTGCTATTCTTACTCTCATTTTTTAAATAAGACATTGTGCTTAAGTGACTTGGCCAAGGTCACAGAGAAAGTAAAGTGGGTGGGTCTGGAGATTCCTACTCAGTCTGGATCCAGACTCCTTCTCTCTCTCTCTCTCTCTCTCTCTCTCTCTCTCTCTCCCCCCTTTCTTTTGCAGTGCTGGAGATTAAACCCAGCCAGTGCCTTGCAGCGCAGTAGGCGAGTGCTCTACCACTGAGCTGTAGCTTTAGCCTACAGACTCTTTGCTGTTGTTCTACCTCACTTGGGGATTACCATCTACCATACTTCCTGTTGAAAATTACTCACTAAGCCTAATTTTGAACTTTTCCCTTTCCCCTCAGTTTACTGGTGCTGTGGAACTAATTCATCCTGGTATTTTCAGGTGATGCATTTTGATTTCCTTGCATCCAGTATGTAGGTAGTTAGCTTATCCTCCTTGTCCAGTCTTGGGTCACCTCTCCTCCTGTCAATAAAGAGTTACTACTCTCCACCTGCTTTTTCATGGAGAAAGTTGCTTTTTGAAACAGTGCTTTAAGGAAGATCAGCACAGCTTCCTTCTGTGGGGTGGGGGCCCCTGGGCAAATCTTAGCCTAGTTCTCTCAGTGCCATCCCTGGAAATAACTGTCCTTAGTAGTTTGCCTTTGCCCCTTTAAAGAGATTTTTGGGGCCTAATTCTACCATATAATTGTCCACTTTGCTTTGCATTATGATCATAACCAAGCTGTCCTCTTATTTCCTCCTCCTCCTCCTCCTCCTCCTTCTTTTTTTTTGGTACAGGGGATTGAATCCAGAGGTTCTTAACCTCTGAGCCACATCCCCAGCCCTTTCTGTCTTTTGAGACAAGTTCTTGCTAAGTTGCTTAGGGCCTCACTAAGTTGCTGAGGTCGACTTTGAAATTGTGATCCTCCTGTCTCAGCTTCCCTAGTCGCTGGGATTCCAGGCGTACACCATTGCATCCAGCTCATTTCCCAATTTCTTAAGCTTTTAAGGGTCAATGATTCTCTGTTCATAGTCTTTACTTCTCTGAAAGTAAGAGGTTATTTACTAATAGTTCTCTAAGTGCATCATTAATGGTTATTATTATTTGGTTTTCACAAAATAAAATATTGCTAGAATTACTGAGGATGCTGTTTCAATGTTCTGTAAAGAAATTTGGTTGCTGAGCTGCAGTTGGCAGCCTGGCACAACTCCCACTGGAGCAGTTGGGATTACCATGTTTTTAGGAAGGATTCCTTATTAGAGCACCATCCGTGTTATCTTGAGTTGTTGCCTGTGGTTTCCAGTTGCTATTGTTCTTGTTATATGTGATAAAAACTTTGTTATCATCAGTCTTATTAATTTGTCATAATTTTTATGTTAACCCTCAACCAAATGATAATACATATTTGTGTCCAATGAAGTTTTGTCTGTGATTTTCTAGCATCATATTGACTTTAAGAATTTATTGAATTATGGTTCAAATTATTGAAATATAATTCAAATGTCATTCATTAGGGAGAATGAATGACATTAGGAAGAATGTCATTCTGTTTACTGTTATCACTGAGTTATTTTTCCACTGTAAATGGGATTTTGTGGAGGTATATGAATGAAGGGATCTTTTGCCTTAAGGAGACACTGGCAAAAACAAAACAAAAACAAACAAACACAAAACTTGAGAGTGTTCCACAGTGTTCAAAAATCATGGCATTATCCTACCAGTTTTAGTTGCTTTTTCCGACACTGTATATCATTATTAGAAGATTTTCATTTATGCTTTCATCTTCCTTTTGAGATATAACCCTAAATCTTACTCTCAATTACTTGAATCCTATAAGTAGTACCCCCTGTCTTTTTAGCTCCTATAAGTAGTACCCACTATCTTTTTAGCTTAGCTTGTCTCTGCCCATATTCACAGAGCATGATCTCACCTTTTTTTTCCCCTTATCCCATTCAGAGGCAGCAGCATGCACAGACTTGATATTTCAGATTTCTAGCCTTCCCCTGCATGCACCTCCATTGTCATTATCTCTCCATCATAATCATTAAGCAGGTTTGATTAAGTCAGGCAGTAGACTTTCTTCCTTAATTACACCTCAGCTGCAAATGTCAAACTCCTCTACCTCTCTTCAAAAGTCTTTCTTACTTTTTCTGTCTTAGAGGCAGTATTTTTATTTCATTTTTTGGTGGGACTGATGATTGAACACAGCTCTTTTTATTTTACTTTGAAACAAGTTTTGCTTTGTTGCCTAGGCAGACCTCAAACTTGTAATCTTCCTGCCTCAGCCTCCTGAGTATCTGGAATTAAAAGCATGCACCGCTGGGCCCCACTTGAGATAGTATTTTTAAGACACCAGATTTTTAGCTGCTCCTAAGATAGGTTTTTCTAATAGAAGAGCAACTAAAGAACAGAGGATAACAAAAAATTGATAGAAAATTTAATTAGTATATCCATCCCTAAAATTGCAGTTTAACAGTCTAATTGCATTTTAAGATTTGCTTTCCAGCTCTAAAATAAACAGTGAAATACATTGCCATTTAAAAAATAGCTTTGAGATTAAATTCATATATCATCCACCTATCCATTTATCATTATCATTATTATTATTTTTCGGTAGCAGGAATTGAATCCAGGGACACTTAAGCCACACTCCCAGCCCTTTTTATTCTTTTCTTATTTTGAGACAGGGTCTCACTAAATTGCTGAAGCTGGTTTTGAACTTGCCATCTTCCTGCCTCAGTCTCCCTACCTTCTGAGATTATAGGTATGTGCCACCATACCCAGCTGAAGTATCATTTAAAACATATAGTTAGCCAGGTGCACATCTGGCATTCCAGCTACTATTATTATAGGCCACTGGGGAGGCTGAGACAGGAGGATCACAAATTTGAGGCCAACCTCATAAAGTTAGAGAGACTCTGTCTTAAAAACAAAAACAAAACCCCAAACAAAAACATAATTAAATGACTTTTAGTGTCTTCAGGGAGTTGTGCAACAATTACCACAATTTAATTTTAGAACACTTTCATCATTCCAAAAAGAAATCTACACCTTTAATAGTTACTCTTCATTTTGTTTCCACTCTCCCTCCCTGTTCTTACTTTCTTTCTCTATGGGTTTGTCTATTGTAGACATCTGGACATTTTGTATTAATGAAATCATATGCTTTTAAAATAATTCATCATGTTTTTAAGGTTCACACGTTTGGTAGCATGTATCAGTGCTTCATTTCTTTTTATTGCTGAATAATATTCCATTGTGTGGCTATGCATCTATTATTTGTCCATCAGTTGGTGGACATTCAGCTTTTTTTCTTTTTTTTTTTGTATTGGGGATTGAACCCGAAGCATTTTACCACCGAGCCACATTTCCAGCCCTTTTAATTTTTTATTTTGAAACAGGGTCTCACTAAATTGCTGAGGGCCTCACTAAGTTGCTGAGGCTGGCCTAGAACTTGCTGTCCTCCTGCCTCAGCCTTCAGAGTCACTGGGATTATAGGTGTGCATCACCATGCCTAGCACTTATTTAACTTTTTTTTTTATATATATTTTTTTGGTTGTAGATGGACAAACACCTTATTTTGTTTATTTACTTTTATGTGGTGCTGAGGATCAAACCCAGTGCGTTATATATGCTAAGCAAGCGCTCTACTGCTGAGCTACAACCCCAGCCTCTTATTTAACTTTTGATGCACAAGTTTTTAATTATTTTCTTTGGGGGAGGGTACTGGGGTCTGAATCCAGGGACACTTTACTATTGAGCTACATCCTCAGACCTTTACATTTTTTGGGACTGGGTCTTACTGAGTTGCTTAGGGCCTCACCAAATTTCTGAGGTTGTCCTTGAACTTGATGATCCTCCTACTTAGCCTCCTGAGTCTCTGAAATTATAGGCATGTGTCACTGCTGGGTTATTTTATTTTATTTACTTTTTGTGTATGCTTTTGGTGTCATTTGTAGGAAGCTTTTGCTCAACCAAAGATCATGAAGAGTTTGCTCTTACATCTTATTATTTTTGTCTGTTACATTTAGGTTTGTGATCTATTTCAAGTTTTCATGTATGATTTAAGGAAGGGTCTTTGACATGGGATGTCCTGTTGTTCCAGCATCATTTGCTGAGTTCTATCATTTTTTTTTTTCTCATACTAGGGATTTAACCCAGGGACACTTTATCACTGAGCTACATCCCCAGACC